TACCACTATTACTTATTGAATTTATTAAATAAAATTTTTAATACCCTTTGTATACAACGCCTTTCAAATACTCCTTTAGGAGTACACGATCCTCTGTGACATACGAGTACATATTCCCCGAGAGTATAACAAGAGAACACTGCACATTTGATTTGTATGAATTGAAAGCCTATGAAATGAAGTGAAAAACAAATCAAATATTTTTGTGAAGAGATTTCACGCGGTAACGGACTGAAGCAAGAACAGAGTCAATCATTTGAGGTTGCATATGATAATCAGAGCTGAAAAGTTTTGTCAGCAAGTAGCACAAAGTTTCTGTAATTTTTTTTATGAACAGTTAAGGTGCATCTCTCTCTAACACATGGGTATTCGGAATTTACTGGAACATTGCTGACAAACCAGTCACAGTTGAAATTTTTCTGCAATGACTCAAAATGTATCACAAATGAAAAATTCCTTCGAGTTAATAATATTATTTAGATTTGTACAATTTTTACACTTTTAGCACAAATATTCATAAGCTAAAATAGAATATTAAAAGGACTGTAACAAAAGATTAATTAACAGGTTCATTGTATGAAACAAAATTTCACCTAATTATGTGCTGGCGCCCATTAATAGTTCCCCTTGCTCGATTTAACAGACTTGTTGTAATTGGTAAACGCCAAAATTAATATAATATTAAATTAAAATAAGACAAAAAGTTCACTAGGGCTGAACCGAAGATACAATACCCATTACAGGTACATTTCCTTTCAGTTTGTATGACAGCTATATGCTATAGTGGTCCGATCTGAACAAATTCTGCGAAGATTCTTCCGTTGGCGTTAAATAATAATACATTGCTAGATTTTTGTGAAGATATCTCGTCAAATAAAAAGTTCTCCATACAATGGCTTGATTTTGATCGATCAGTTTGTATGGCAGTTATATAATAAAGTGGTCCGATATCGGCGGTTCCGACAAATGAGCAGTTTCTATGGGAGAAAATAATGACATGACTAAATCGACTCACGTCATCACGCAGATCATTTATATGCATATGTATATACTTTATAGGGTCTCCGACATTTCTTTTTGGGTATTACAAACATCGTGGCAAACTTAATATACCTTGACAGTTATTAAAATAGTTTGAATAGAATAAGGAAAGTAAACCGATTTCACCCAGTATCGGTAAAAAACACAGTACGCTAATTTTAAAAGACTCATATAACTTAATTAATATACTTCTGGTAGTATGTACATATGTATATGGCGTATTCGGTTTATGAGACTTGATGGAAGATAAAGAACGATTACGATAAAAACAAAACTTAATTATAAGTAGTTTCAAATATCATCTTTTTTTACAGGTGGGTCTGTCCATAAGAATAAATTGGCCGGGAAAATGATGGAACTATATACATATGTATTACAACACTTATCCATATCCTCATTAATACACAAGAGTGTATCTACTGCGCTACATACTATTGTAGGGCTTAGACAAAATGTAATTTTAAGTGGCTACTCATATCTTGTATTGCTTCTTTAACTAGACGTGTAATTGGGCAGGTTAACAAACTCCAACAATACCTACTCTATAGTTATCCCGAATTGTCGTATATACCTTTTATCAGAAATGAAGCAATAATGCAACATTTCCGTCTAGTTTCTACGTACTAATTTCAACTCTGCCTCGAAACTCTTTTCTGTACTATAGAAATTCTTGACTCTTGGACGGCGTTCAAAAGTGACAAACTACAGCAAGCGCAGTCCATAAAGTGGCGAATTGGCATTTCAAGCGACAAAAAAGTAGCTCTGGCAGATTGAGGCCCCTTGGAAAGAGTGAATCAGGTTTCCAACAGTTGAAAGGATGGCACGTAAGAGAGTGAGTTGGCCCCGGCTTATTGCCAAAAATATAGGCTTTTACCAAAATTGTGGTTAAATGAAATACTATAAAAAGTGTTTGCCTTTCTGTTATGCATCCTACGGTACTGCTTCGCATGGATACCCATTCTCTCCGTCGGCTTTTACGGCTGCTGGCAGCAGCAGCCCTGCCAAACGCTCAAAGGACAGCTCTATCTTGCGTTTGTGTATACTTATGTGTCCTTACATATGTATGTCTATAACGGAAAACATAGATATTTTCTCGTTAGAGTCGTTCGATTCAAAGGACATGTTGCTCGTGTATATTACTCAACCAACGAGGACTTCCAACTATAAAAAGTTGTACCTCAACACTGCACTTGGTCCAACACACCACATTTTATGCATACGTGTTTGCCACATGTACATATATGCAGACATATTCCACTTAACTCATCAGCCGACCATGTGGCAACCGCCACACGTATTATTCCGCAACTGGCACAGACTGCACCGCGCTGTTCATTTCAGTTTCACTAATAGACAATTTTTTGGCAGCGCAACATGCTGGGCGCTTCTTTCCTGCACCCTGCTTTACATTTCCGTCGTAAATGCAAGGCTTGAAGGGCTGGGCTTTAGGTTTGGTGGACATGCAAAAACGCCCGTCTGTCGACACTAACCGGGTGTACGGCGTCTAAGCGGGAAACATCTAAATTAAAGGAGACACATTAAAATTATGTAATATCCTGTTATTACGACAACGAAAAACGCCATACAAGAACCAGTCTATGAAATAACCGAAAACAACAGCAAATATAAACTCGGTGGACTTGTTAACGAAAAGAGTAAAATTGAAAAGCTGCAGCGCGATTATGTTCATGGATTCATGGCGTTTAAAATCACTAAAGGTTTTAGTAAACAGGCAGAGATGGCATGGGCGCTGATGTTTGTCAGGTGAATGCACTTGATTGAAGTGGAAATAATAATCTGAATGAAATTGAGGGCGAAGCTCAAACTCTAATGAATCCTTAAAATCAACTGAAGCTTGTGTAGTAACGAGTCAATAAGATGATAATAGGTTTCCAATGCATATGAGCTTACATCGGATAAGTATTCAGACCATAAGCCTAGACTTGTGCTTGTTTTTCGATCTGCTCTTATCAAGCCAAAATATTGTGAAATAAGTATTTCTTCCATTAAATCTAAAGACAACCTTTTAAGGGAAGATATATGTCATTCAATGAACGAAGATTTATGCTGATTTCAGAGACAAGATGGGAATGAAATGAATTGCTGGCGCCACTGTTGTAAATTCAGTATCGACGTATAAACTTCTGGCTTACGACTGAGCCACTACTTGGATAATTAGCTTCTTGCAAATAAGGAACAACGTACCTACATCTAGAACACAATGAAAAATCATCATTCAAAAGATCGTATAGATCTTTATGAGATTGCTATTATTGCATAGAGTTCCAAGTCATATAAAGCTCTTAAGATAATTTTAGCTTAGCACGTTATAAGGTGAGGCATGGATATTTAATTCAAATACTCTGGCCATGTCGTTGATTAAGCTGATATTTTATATAATCCACAGTACAATAAATAAATGTTTGTTTTGGGGTGCATTACAAAAGTTACGACTTAGTCACGAAGCTCTAAATTCCTAAGTGCGGTGGCACGCGTACAAAAGACCTGGTATGCCAAATGCACCTACATATGTAAACTCTGAAGAAAAAACTCTGAAACATTAGAGAAAACTGTGGAATAGCTAAGTGGGAAGGAAAGTGAAAATAGAGAGCGAGTACATGCGGCTAACCAATATCGCTTGAAAACGTGCTAAATGCCTACTACAACAACAACAACAACAACAACAAAAAAGGCGAAGAGCACATGTTGAAGTTAAAAAGCGAACAGATAAAGATAATAGAGAAAATGTGGCCCAAAGAAAGTCAAAAGCACGCTGTAACTGTTGAATGGTGCTGTCTAACCATTTAAAAAACAACATTAATCCAAATGCAAATATGCTGTTCTTCACTCTAGCGAGAATGATTTTATACAACTACAATAAATATTTAAATATGTATATGTACAAGTTCATAATTATACATATTTCGTACAATCTGAAAGTTACAAGGCGCATCCCTGTTTTGAAAGGCAAGAGATTTAGATCTTAAGCTGGGCGCCTATTTACAGGAGTTGACAAACTTTATATTAAACAAGTAAAGAAGAGCCAAGTTGGGATGTAATCGCACTTTTGTCGCAATTTTAGAGACATAGGCCTGGCGAATATTTTCAGCTGTTGGTAGAATTTTATGTTATAAAATGTTGCGAAAGATTTCAACATTTATTATACCGCAAAACCGTCATTGGCTTACAATCATATTTGGTATCTTACTGATTTATATTATAGGTCATAGACTTACTAATATTTTGCTTCGTGTCCCAGATATTTAAATTAAAATCATCCTCAAAAGAGATATAGCTGACATAAACTCAACCAACGTTGCTCAATTTAATATAGTGGGCATGTTAGGAAAACATTAACCAGAGAATTATATTTGGAATAAACTTGGACTGCAACAATAAAATTCATTATATGTATATGTAAAATATAGGAGCTGGGATAATTCGTGAACGGATTTCACACATTTTCTGCATTCATTCATAGACTATTCAATATTATTCGTTAATTTGATTTTGTTAAGATTTTTTACAATTTGATCAATATATATGGCACAAATCTACCCGAAGTTTGAAATTATTATGTTAGGTATATGGGAGATAGGGGAGAAGGCTGATTTTATGCATTTTTGGCACCAAGACATTCTATTACCAGAAAAAGATGCTCCCTGAGTTTCATTAAGATACCTCACAAAGTATGTATGGTATAACGTCAAGCGGCTGTTTGATGTCCACTATTTTAAGGGAAAGGTTCTCTCAGTACTATAGGCACTGAGGTCCACTTATTGGTATCTGAGAACTTGAAATGTTGTTATCCGATTTCAACTATTTTTGGACTGAGATAGTTAGTTTAGGTTTACTACTTGTGCCAAGTTTTGTTCCAATAACTTAGTCGGATATGTAACTTTATTGATATGTACTTGCGTCCACACAGTCCGTAATATAAGAAAGAAAATATTACTCACCAAAGTGGTAGATTTTGGTCGAGGAGTTCCTGAGCTGCATGCCCTAATTGAATGCCCACTTTTAATAAGTTTTATATTACAGATGCCCATTCACAACTTTTGTTTTGTAGTTAAATTTACGGCTTAGTTAAAGTAGCTTTTAAAGCTTCTGTTCACTGCATTATACAAGTATAGGCGTGGCAATGGTCTAATTCCAACCATCTGCAACAGCAAGCTCCAATGTTTAATTTTCTACCGCAATTTTTGTGATTCTTCTATTATAACACTGGTATACAGAGATAGGAAGCTCAAAGCGACTTGTCATTTTATTATCGTCTTTGGGATTAGTCTTTTAATCTAACCTAGCAGATTAGGTAGATATAAAACAGCGAGTGATACTGAACTCTGTTATAATAAATAATTAGTATAACGGTAATTTCGAAGAAGTAGATTTCGTAGCCTAGCTTTCCGCTTAATAGATTACCTAGCTTGGGGGAAATTTAGGTATGAATTAGGTAAATAGGTAGGGTTTTTGGGAAACAAAATACTTACTTATGTATGTATGTATGTGTCATTGCATAAGTCATCAGAATGCGTAAGATTATTAAACTTCGTGAGTGAAATCGACTCGACGTATATTGCATGATTTGTTTGTTTTTGGGTGGCTTCTATCTACGATTATAGGATTGTGGTACACTAAAATACATATGTTTTTTATTACCATATTTATAATATTGTTTGTATTTGAAAATTTCTTACAAATTATTGTATCCAACGTCTGCCAAAAAGACATTAAAGTGTCAACGTACGAAAAGTTAGCTGCAACTTTCGCTTTACCCTTCGATACGAACAATAAGGGTGTACGAGTATATTCATATTGCTAGCGAAGAACGAGAAAAGACCTTGTCGTAGAGGGGAAACGGTGAAGTTAGGTGGTTGCGCAAACTGCTTCCTTTTGTAACGGTGCAAAATATATTACCAACTTCCGGTACTGTGCGGCACGTTCAGGGCTCTGCAAGGCGCGAAAGAAAATACCAGGACATCGCAACATATTCCGACTCACTCTCAATCCCGAGCACAGCAAGTCTTGGGCTCATCGCCAGGCTACCATCACCGTAGGATAAAGCAAGAAGAATTATGTTTTCATTTTGGCGTAGGTGTTTGCGAGTCGGCCTGATATGTAAATGTAGTAGGAAGGCACTGCCGTCTAGCTAGCGGATGCGGATGTCAGTTAGGGTGGTAACGACGCTGTTGTGAATTGATTGAGTTATTGCGAAATTTGAGTCTACATCTTCCGATTTGCCATCTGTGAGTGATTTTTTGTAAAATATGTGCAGATATGCACATATTATAGACTTGTGCACATATCTGTGAATGTTGCATCAGTGCAAACTCCTCTCGGCTGCTCATAATTTTGTCACAGGTGTGCTAAGCCTACTGTGTTCATGTTCTTTGCCGTATTTAGTTTGTTTTTACACTCACAGACATATCACTTCTTGCAAAGCCAGGCCACTTGCTATGTGTCTTGCAAGATTCCCTACTTTCCCTTAACGAATCAAGTGAGATTATTCAATTTGGCGCCACCGTAACACACAGCGATGGATGAATATTTGTTGGGTGGTTTCTAGTTTCGATCTGATCGCTCGTTGTGTGAGATAAAACCTTTCTGACTTAAAAAAACTCTTGAAACATTCCGTCGGGAAGATTTCCCAAAGTTTACGAACTGAAAAAGAAGCTTAAACAAGTTTGTATGTACATGGAATTCAATGGGAAAATACCTTCTGGACGCGCATTTCAGCGAGCCTTTAAATTGGGTCAGACAAGCTACTTAAACACACACATGCAAATGTGTACATACATATGTACATCGCAGGATCTTTTGGCATTCGTTTGGTTTAGCAGAAATACAAACACCTCACCAGACAGGCTGTTGGGGTGCGGGCAGCGCATAGCGAAGTGTGGCAGGTCGTGCTTGCAATATGCCGGAATGGTATTAAATACTTGCTTTACGTCTGTTGTTGTTACTGTTGTACGTAGCAGACAAGGGCTCCTTTCATATAGCTGAGAGAGTTTCATAATGTGGCTGGTGGCACGTTTGCGTTTGTCTGCGCTCTTGTGAGAATTGTTGCAACAGACGGTGACTGACATTCGAACGACTCAATTGTTTTGCTGTTTGCTGGTTTTGAGTGTGCTTGTGAGGGTGTTTGTGAGTGTGTATAAGGGCACCATATTAAAAGTAAGTTGGCGATAATGTTGTTGCTTTGTTTTATTCTTCTACCGTTGCTTGTTGTTGCGTTTGTTCTACGTTTCGACTAAAAATGGTCAAGCGATTGGTTTTTCCGACATGCCACTTTTTAATAGCCGACATATAAACATCCTTGTATTCTTCGCAAACAATTTAGTGAGGTTTTGAGTGGATACCGATTTCATATGTAGTACTCGTATATATGTATGTAAATGCATTTGTGAAACAATGGTGACGCGAAGAAATGCCCGAAATCGGTGTAAACATTGCCATAGAAAGAAATATTGCAATAAAACAATCCAGCAACGACCACAAAGTCGCAGTTCATGTTGCAACAACAATCAAAACATTCCAGACCGTAACTGTGATTTGTTTACCCATTAAAGTTGCATGACCCGTTGATTGCGGTACGTCTGTCACCTCCGACGCCGCGGCACTCGGCAGTGTTGCAAGTTGTTTGCTTGCTGAACGCATCCTTGGCTTGCCCTTACATAGTAACGCCGCACTTCGGGCTTCGGTGACAAGCCTTCGTATATTGTCGTTACTCAGTTCGTGTGCTCTACATTTTCGGCTTCAAGCTCAGCGAGTCCCGAATGACTGGCACTGGGTTGAGTGTGTAGCAATTCGGCTGTGGGTGTAAGTCTCTGGCGAGCATACAACCTATTGTTTTATTTCTGCACACTTCCGTGTTTTTGGTGTGCGAATTTGTTTGTTGTCTATTTGTTTATGCAGCCACAGCTTTACTGCTCTACTTACATACATACATATGTATGTTATATATTATTTGATTTAAACATTGCGGATTTCGCTTCAGTACTTCGGTTGGGTTATGGATTTCGTTTTCATTAATGCATATTTAGGTATATGCCGCGTATAGACCGAAAGGAGTGAATCCAAAAAAAAACAAAAAAAAAATACAAATATAAATACTACATACATATATACATATATAATATTTGAAATCAATAAATGAAGTTTTGTTTGATACTCGAAAAACAGTATATTCATTGTTAAGGTCGTGTCAGCTCAATTTCATTAGCAAAGTAATCTATGTTCAAAGCAGTATGCTAACATAATTTCAATATGAAGTTTGAAATTATTGATATACATACGTGCAACAATTATTTGGGATCTCAAAAATCATTATCTTTACTACGGTGGCTGGAAAGGTCGTCACTGATTTCATAAATATTTCTTCTAAAAACATAGTTTTATTTAAGCCCCTCAAGGTATGCTCACAAAACTTCAGTTAATAGAGAATAAATGTGGGTTAACGAACGGTACATACTTGTAGAAGACATCAGTTCAAGTCGCCTTTTTAATTTATATATCACTTGTGTATTTATGTAAATACGACCCGATTATTTTGTGGTGGCTACGACAATATGTAGACATTAAATTTTTCAAACAATTTTGAAGTGTATTTTGCCGTTCATAGTTGCATAATTTAGAATAATTAAAAATACGTAAATAAAAATCGAATATATTTGTACCTTACAATGGATGAATAAAAGCAATATCGGATGACATAATATCTGTTACAAAAACAAAACTATATAGTAAACGCAGACCGTTTATTCAGTTTACAGTTTATTCCAAACGAAATCCATGGCTCCTTATGTGGGAACTAGTCTCTCAGTTTTTTAGGATTTCTCCAGTAATTTTGCACACGTCCTTTACTCACCAAGAAGCTGCTGACTTGTCGGAACCGCCGATATCGGACATCTAGCTGTCATACAAACTGATTGCTCAAAATCAAGTTCTTGTTTAAAAAACTTTTTCATTTGATAAGGTATCATCACAAAATTTATCCAAGGCATCGCTGATTCTCTGAAGAAATTGTTTAGATCGGACTACTATAGCATATAGCTGCCACACACCTAACCGGTGGTCAAGGTATCGTCACGAAATTTGACGTAGATTATTATCTAAGGCATTGTTACAATTCCCGAACATATTGTACAGATCGGATGACCATAGCTTATAGCTATCCCCTTATAGCATCCAAATTGACTGATAAAAATCAGAATAAAGATCTTTTTATACCCTTACATGCTATAACTAAAGGGTCGAAAAGTCGAAGTTACAGTTTTTTCTTGTTTATATAAAATTACATCCAAGTGATCAATTAATTCCTTATCGAAACTGAACTTTTAGTGAAATTAAAAGAAGTAAATGCATAATTGAAGGCGTATTTAACAATGATATCCAAAAAACCTATCAAAATTAAAAACATTTTTTCATACCGTTTTTGGAACAAGTGTTACATAAGACCGATCCTCATTAGTAAATAAACCTCACAAAAGTAATTTCAATGTCAGTAAGTTAAGATTAATTCAAGTATTAATTACATTCAAGCCTTGAAATTATTTAGAATAAAAATCACTTAACTGTAAAACTTAAGGTTAATTATTTCCCTGAAACATCGATAGTTAAGCTGATAATACAATTGTTCGAGTTTTTAGCTCTTCAGCCCTTTCGGTGTGTTGTTGCCTATGCATATATGTATGTGCCTGTGTAAGTTCTTCTGTCGCTACCACTTGGATTGACTGCAGTTCAACATGGCTTCGAAGCATGTCCACGCTGCTGCTGTGCTGTACCATTGACTGCTGTTGCAACATCGAAGCAACATTGGTAGCCATCGGCCTTTAAATACCTAGTCGCCTCGTTCGTTGTCTGCTCGTTGACATCCTCGTCAACCTCGTTATGGTCGTGCTCGTCATTTTCATGTTATACAACACGTGACACGTGCATTCAGCAAACGCCGGCTACGAGCGCTGGCGGTAACAGCGCTGCACAAAGTTGCGGATATTGCACTAAGTGACTTTGTATTTCACTCTCTGCCTCGTGTTCTCTCTTACAATATTTACGCAACTCTCTTAATGTAAAGCCTACACGCGTGCCTTTGTGGTGCTTATTTATTTTAGTGTGTCACCCTTTTTGTTTGGGAGCAAAAGCTTTTGAGTGGCGAAAGCTTTTTCATTCATAAATTCTCTGCAAGGAGCTTTCTTATTTCCGTTCATTCACATGCTTTTCGCTTGGTTGCCGCCAGGTGTCGCCCAACTGTGGAAGTACGGATTATGAGGCAGATGTGGGGCAGCAAAGCCGTGCATACGTTCAGCCATAGACACACCGACGCACACAAATACACAGTTGGTCAATACACCTACAACGTAGTCGTTGCGCCTCATTGCATTTGCAACTGTGCGCTTAGTTGCCAACGACTGTCGAAATTCGCATTTGTAACACATTAAACTAAAGTGTTGTGGCAGCTTCTTTACGTGCCTCATGGTCCTCTCGACATTAGCTACTTAGCCAAACCAAATGCTAGCCGTTATTCAAGGAAACAAGAACAAGAGCACCGAAAACGGTTAGTAATGACATGTGACAGGCGAAAACAACAACTACAACTTAGAGATTTGTTTGAAAATATAAAAATCAGCGCAACAAGATATAAGTTTTTATTCGAACGCAAGCGCAGGCACTCTTATTAGCGAATAAAGTGAGTCAGAGGAAGACCTCAAGCGACATTGGGATGGCAGCAAAAACTGCTGATGTCTGTCTCATTGGCGCAAATGTGTTTTTTCTCCTTTTCTAGCAGTTCTCAGAAAATCTCAGATATCCCTGAAAATTCTAGTTGCTTGTTGGCGAGGCGGCAGTAATGTCCATCAAACCTTAATATGACTCAGTAGGGCTGCTAGCTCGTACCTGTTTTGTTTCTTGTTTTGTCCGTCTTGCTACAAGTTTTGGCAAGTTTCTGATCTGATATTACTGCAGCGTCGCCACAGACTCCGACAATGACGCAGCCATTTACTTTATTTTACTTTATTCGAGTCTTGGAGTTTTGTGGCTTTACATTTTTTTGACTATTTGTTCTGACTCACACAAAAATCGTGTATTTCTTTTCGGCTCCTAGGTTGCAGCTATGGTACGTTGCCATTTGTAGACGATGAATAAGTTTGTAAAAACAAATGGCAACTCTATACTTTTATGAAAACAAAGCCAATTCGTATCCTTTCCTGTTATGCTAGTTGTTATTTTTTACTTTGTGGTTTCCAGGGATGGGCAGAAGGTTAGCATGTGATAAAAGAGCGTAAGTGTACGCACACTGATTGTCTATAATATGAACAAACGAAGAGCGAAAACGAGCACTGACGATGGGACAAAGCGGTAGTAAAATCTGTTTGAAATCAGCAGTTGATCATTATATAATATAAGCATATAAGTTACAAAAAAATCATAGGGTTGTCAAGGCTTTGACGGAGCTGAGATCACCTGCTCGAAACAATGCGTTTTTCCGACATAGGACTTTAAATATAAGCAATGTGAAAGAAAAACTTTTCTTGGGGAAATACATTTTTATGGAAATATTTTTTGAAAATGAATGAAATTTTGCAAATTTATATGGCTTTCACTATTCAATAATTTTAAATGACCCTTTACATAATACGGCAGCAGACTACAGCAGATTTGAGCCTTTTTTGAAGTAATTGGGCGTTTTAGTAAATTTCAGGCAAACAGCCTAGAGTGCCATAGTACATCCCGAATTTTTACCCACAAACGTGCAGGTGAATGCTTTAAAAATTACAGAAATTATGATAATATGCAATATAACATTAATATAATGACAAATGGTACACATATTTAATCTTACGGTTTTGTTATAAACTACTAAAAGTGCGATAACTCAATTAATAAAAGCGCCAGACACTCTAAATTTTGCCCCAGATATGATACAAAATTGGTATCAATATTGGACAATGTGTGCGGCACTGCTCACCTTTAGGTGAAAACCCATATCTCTGGACCTGCTCGACTAAATTCCAATCAAATTTGGCATATAACTTATCATGACATGGCTATGTTACAATTCAAAAATGAGCAGCAGCGGACTACAACAACGCCTACTTCTCATATAACAAAATTTTAAATTACACCTGAATCTTGTATTGGGATAAAACTTTGCACGAATACTGCCTTGGGAGTGTGGCAGCTTTTGACTAAAAATTACCAAAATTAAAAAATATCGGTCAACCTTTCAGATATATTATTGGAATTTGGAAAGAATTTTTTCCGGCTTTAATTCTTGCGATAGTATACAATGTTCGGTTGCACGAACTTAGCCCTTTCTTACTTGTTTCTTTTTATGTTTGATTTATCTATTGCAAACTGAGTCCGAGTTGGGCCAACTAGAAAAGGTAATACATGGATATCAACCTTATGCATAAAATTTGGTTCAAATTTACCTAAAAGTGGGCACTGTCCAGACTAAACCTATTATTTTAACCACAGGCGCATTATCTTTAAAATCATGTGTTTACAAATGTATGTAAAGTTAACTTCCCTTAATTTATATTAAAGGTAAATGAAAAACGGGTTTGCCTACAATCAAAATAGATGTTTGCTCTCATCAGCTATAACATTCTTTAGATCAAACTAAGTAGTTTTTTAAAGTAGGTATTATAATAAATATTTAATAAATATACCAATTATATAATTTCAAAATTTTGCATGAACAATAATTTATGACACATACATATTCGTCGCTGTATAAACTTAAGTTCTCGAATTACTTATTTGTTTGTTTCTTTTGTCGCGAAAAGTCAGTCAAAATTTGAGATAATCAATCAATCAATCAGTAGTGGACAGTATACGAATATAGAGCGTAATCTTATTTTTCGCACTGCGTAAGAGAACCTTAATTGTAATCATCCATTTACAATACCAGACCATATTATCATCAGCAAAAGACGCCCACTCAATTTCGTTAGAAACCCTCTCTCATTGACCAATATTTCGTTATAAAGTGAATCATAAGCAAGGAGGTACTCATAGTCGGCATCGGAGGATTTGAAAATTTATGGTGACTTCGAACAGATAGGTGACAAGATGTGACTGTACAAGGTTTTATTCCAATAACTTAGGGTAATGAT